TAAATTATACAAAGTATTACCAGTCACCTACAACACAATATCAATTAATTAATTAATATAAACTCCGCCCATCAATCATTATTAGCCACACCCCTCACCTTCCCAAATAATGTATTCTTATTATTAAGTTCATCAGTTCTTCCCAGCGTTATAAAGAACTGTGAGGTATTATCATTCTTTCCTCCATTGGCCATTCCCACCAGACCACGTCTATTGAACTTGAGTCTCTGATGAAACTCATCCTGTTAATTAGAGTGGGTGTGGTTAAAGGGTTGTCATGGTAACGATGGACTCACTTTAAATGGTGAACCATAAATAGATTCACCACCTGAAGAGAAGATAAAAAGTATTTGTACAAATAATTATTAATAATTAATACCTTCTCCTGTACCAGTGGGATCACCACCTTGAGCTACAAACTCTAGAAAGAGAGAGAGAGGGAGAGAGAGAGACAGAGAGAGAGAGAGAGAGAGAGAGAGAGTGAGAGAGACAGAGAGAGAGAAAGAGAAATTACATCATGTACATGTAGGAAAGCAACGTAACATCAATAGGTCATTCTACTTAATTAATAATTATAACTCCACCCACTAATTAATAATAATTAATCCATTACCGAAAACGACTCTGTGGAATATGGTATCATTATAATAATCTTCTAAACACAATTGTATGAAGTTACGACAGGCCAGAGGAGCCTCTTTGGACCACAGTTCAATATCACCCAGTGTGGTCTTTAATAGTACCTGAGGGGAGGGGCCAGTAGTCACTAATACAGCTGCTGCTGGATTAACTACCTTTCCTTTAGTAGGGGGCTCTGTTATATATATGGAACTCATTCTTTGTAGAAGAGCCTCATAAAGGCACTGGTCTCTTCCCACTTCAGTATACTTTCCGTTGATTCGCTTTACATACTCCGTATAATCAAACCACGTGCCTTCACATTGATAAAAAACCATTGTGTGTTGTCACTGCATTTCTGTGCATAATCCTAGAGTTACTTCTAATGAAATGCCATCACTAGTAAATTTATTCCTTACTTAATTCCCTATCAATCCCATCAGCTACAGCATTCTCTCCCATCTTCCTCAATGCTTGATTAATGTATCATAAGTTGGATCTGCCCCTTGTCATTACATGCGGAATATTGAAATTTAGAATCTATTGCATTGCTAATGCATGTGCTATTATAGATATATAAAGGAGATATGGAATATTCTGTACAAATAAGCAAACTCTACTTGTCTTAGCAGGCTTTGCTCAATAATACACATATAGGAGCATACTCTATGGTCAATTCAATTGTTTATTATTCTCTGATGTCCTCATGTTGAATGACTGACTATCCATAGCAGCAAAAATTCAAAATGAAAATTCTACTCTTGGAAAACAAATTCTACTCTACATTACAAAATGCTACATAGCCCTCCCATTATTAAATATTTTATCAAATTTTTGCTTAACTCAATTAAATTACAAAGTTCAACATCACTTTAACAAACTGAGGTATGGTTACTGATCTATAGTTCATGTTGTACCCATTAAGGTGGACACTGTTTATGAAGGTAAGGGCATTTGATCTCTCTCTTACCGGATGAAGATCATACAAGAAGGAGGTGACAGTCAGGATAGAGTGGGTCTGCTTTAGGATACATATCAGGGGAAGCATATCTTGTTAGTCCAGTGAATCCGAACTTCTTCAATACATGTACAGTGAGAGATACTGCAAGTTGAAGGTTTACAGTAAAAATTAGCAAATCCAGCATCATAAAGTTTAAACCATTATTAAATATTAAAATTAAATTAAAAAATTCAAGAACTGTCACTAAACAAATATTTAATGTACAACTAAATTCAAAACTGGGGCAAAAATTAAATTCAAAATAGCACAATAGCTAAAATGGTTTCACTCTAATAGCATTTTTACAGAAATTTTATTCATTTGGTGATGAACATATCTAGCAGCTGCATGAGATGCAAAAGGCTTCCAACCACTGCATGCTTCCTTCCTCCCATCACCCCAGTCACAAACAGCCTTAATGACAATGAACTGTGGCATAAGAGTAGTTTTAAAAGCAGACCATATTCCAACTGCTTCCATTTCACCAGCAAGATGAGCTTGAGCAGCTTGAGGAGTTACATTGTTTAATTTTTCCTTGAATTCTTCATCATTGACCAAAACAGGTAAAGAAACAATAGGGCCACAATGAACTTTGACCTCTTTGGCATTTTCTTTATCAGAATGCATCATTTTAAAATTGCTGCTCTCTGAAAAAATTGTAAGTACCTTTGTTCCCGGTTCAATGTCACTATCGTTACGAGACTCTATACTCCCTTTATTCATACGAAAGGTAGATAAGTTCACAATCTTCTTAGAAACAATGACATCACCAAGGTTTACTTTGCTTTGATCCATTCCAAAACAAATTCCAATGGCAATTACGTAACTTGGCTTAAATTTTTTCGTTATTGCCTTTATAGTTAAGGAAGCATTTAATTCACCTTGCTCAGCCTTGCAACTTGCACTTTTTCCAACCACAACTGCATGCCCCCCATACTTTCCAATGTAAACCCAAGTAGAATCTATGAATGATTTGATGATTTCATCCTGATCATTTAACGGCTCCAAGTAGCCCAACACAGCCCTTAGCTCATTCTCAGTGGCAGTCATCAGCAGAATACGAATATTAACAATATCTTGAACAAGAGCTTCTGCAACTTCAGATAACTTTATGATCCGAAAATTTTTATCATTTTCTTCTGGAAATAATTCAGAAGGTGGAATTGGAGCTACAGCAACAAGTGGGGTTGGAGCAGAAACTAAAGTAAAAATAATTTTAATTAATACAACTGCATTTCTATCATCTGTAGTGCATGTACTAATGACATCATTACTTATAATGTATACTAATTACTTTTTTTAGCATTTGAGGGTTGTTTAACTTGAGCTGAGGCTTGCCCTAAATTACAAGATAGAAAATGACATAATAATAATAAAACAACAAAAACAATAATAATAATAATGGTAATACAGGAGACTGAAGGTTTTGCCATTATATTTTATGATTAAATTAATAATAGTATTACATAAATCATACAAAAATAATTATCATAGTTAATCTATGGTATACAAATGTACTATAAAAACAATATTAATTTATCTTCAAAAATTAGGGAAAATTACATCATAATGTAAGTGTACCTGTTTTTGATAAAACTTCTTGACTAGTAGGACCAACAGTACTATTGAGAGAACTGTGAGACTCTTTAAGAATTAAAGAACCTTTCCCTTGAGTATCTAGATTATTAACAGGATCAGTGTTTATGTGAACTGGATCTGATGAGTCAGCAGCCCTTGGACCATCAATAGCTTCTTCTAAGCCTCTTTCTAAAATTAAACAAATAAATAACGCATAATCAGCATAACTCAACAAATAATATCATAAATAATAATAACATGAAAATAATTAAAAAAAGGAAAGAAGAGGAGGTAAAAATTAATTCCTAGCTTCAGTACAATTTCTCTTAATCATACTAACCTGGACTTATTTGATCACTAAACCAACATCTGTAGCTATCATCATTTTTTAAATTTAGCACATTACACGGTGGGGTACATTCAATACAACAGGTACGTGTGGAAGATTTCTTTTTAAATTTGTCTTTTTCCCGTACAATGCAGTATGTTTCTTTTTTGGGGCATTTGAAAGCAAAGATAAACTTACTATCTCCTACAACTTTAAGATTCTTGCTGCTTTTTTCAATAACTTTTCTCAATAATTTACGAACATCTGTGACTATTTGTGGACAAGATTCTGTATCGATATGAAAATGTATTTCAAGATGTGTATAGCGATTGATGATATCAATGAAGTAGTCCTCGTAAACATGGAGTGACATGGCATCATGACATCTGTAGAATTTATTGCTAGGCTTTGGAACGGGACTGAATTCTACTACACCCTTTTCTTTCAAAAGGTGTACGATGGTTAAAGGGAATAATCCTTGAGGGATGGCTAGAGTTGTTGTTCTCTCTAGAGTTGTTGTTCCCTTATTTTTAATCTCCCATCCTATGAGAAGTGGTTGTATTTCTGTTGGGGGATCATTGAACTTGTTGCAAAATTGTAACGCACATGGAAAAAAAAATTCATTTTTCTTTTCTTCATTTTCACCGTCAGTGACGACATGGACCTTTTCTTTTTTATTTTCTACATCTTCAGTGATGATGCCGTGGTGATCATCTTTATTTTCTACTTCAGCAATGATGTTGAGGTGTTTAAGAAGAGTGATCATGTGAGACGAGGTAAAATCTTTATTAAAAATGTGTTTACCAATATCATTTAGAAGACTTTCTTTGAAAAGGCCAAAATCTATGAGATTATTTCTATCATCTTGTGAAGGAGGTGGATTAGCAATCAAATGTAATTTATCATGGTCAACGTATGTGATAGCTATTAGACATGAAAGGACATTAAGAATTGGCTCAGGATCAACGAATACTAAATTTGATAGGACATCAACATCATGATAATAAAGAATGATAGTGACATTGTGTAGATATTGCAAAGCATCATTGATATCTTCGGTATCAAGTTCAAGAGACTTACCAATCTCAATCACTTCTTCTTTTGTAAGAAAACTTTGCGTCTTCTTCTCAGCTTCCAGCTGTAGTTCAATCTCAAAAAAAAACAATCGAATTGGTAATTTAATTATCATTTCAGCTTCGCAATTTGAAATTGCAGTACAAAGCTTCACACTAGCTTCTTCTCTTTTATCAGATTTATGAGGGAGCAACGTATTAACGGGAAATATAATCGATTCTCGAGGTTTATTCCAAATGACATTTGTAAGGTCTAAGCACTTTATTAAACTTTCATTCATTTCTTTTAGCCTTTCCTCAGTTACTGACTCATCATCTAAACGTGTACCAAGAATAAGATAATGAGGGTGCTTGGGCATGTGATAGACATGAGAAAATTCGACAAGATTTAACATAGCTTCAGAGCTGATTGTTGATTGAATAATATCATGATTAGAATATTGCAACTTTTTATTAATAGGAAACTCATGTTGACTAATACGATATTGAAACTCACACTTCTCATCAAGAGGTTTGGTAAGATCAATGGTGATGATATTCAGTGTAGCTGCTCTTGTAAAAAGAGGTAGCAACTCTCGATATGCTGGTTGACCACCAGAATCAATAAAATACACCCAATTTGTGCTTAATTTTTCGGAGTCATTGTTGTCAACAATTTTTTTAAGTTCTTTCATATAATTGGATAGTTTATTCTCCTTTTGTCCCTTCTCGGCTGATTCATTTTTGGCAGGTCCATTCTCGGTGGCTAGTTCATTTTTGGCATGTCTATTCTCAACAGCTGGTTCATTTTTGGCAGGTCCATTCTCGGCAGCTGGCTCATTCTTGGCAGGTTCATTCTCAGCGGATCCATTTTTGGCTGGCTCATTTTCGGGAGGTCCACTCTCAGCGAGTCCATTCTCGGTTGGCTCATTCTCGACAGGTTCATTTTCAACTGAACCATTCTTAGTCGATCCACTCTTAGCTGGTTCTTCAGATGATGGTTCATCTAAATGAGTAGATTTAGATGCATCATCTCCAGCCTTTTGTGGCTCATCCACTTCAGTAGATGCTAGCTGTTTAAATAATTCTTCTTTTCCAACCTTCTTCCACTTCTTATTTTCACGATCCACAGTTATTCTTGTTGCTTTAACAGCAGGACAAGCTACTGGTGTACTATCAGTGGAAGTGATTCTGTTGTGTCTAAAAGAAAGGTACTCCAGCATTTTCCTAAGTGCTTCGTACCATGTCCAGCTATCCCGTGTAGGTGGTGGCTCATTAAGTAGGAGGCGTTTCGAACACGTTTTACCAGCTCCAGGTAGACCATGCATATTGATACGAGTGATTTTCAGATCAACAATTCCTTCTTTCAGCCATTTTTTTATTTTTCCTAAAAATATTTTACTTAATAATATATGCACTACCATATAGGGGATATATTTCTCGGGGAAAATATTTCACGAAAATCACCTTTCAAACTATTCACTAAAAAATTTTTTTGCATTTTTCTTCTCCTAACCATTATTAGTATGATAAAAATAATTTTCATAGATAAAAATTTTCATGAATTTTTTAAAACTGTGAAATAAGCAAAATTAAATCCCATGAAATATACCCCCTATACGGTATTTTCATTTCAGTTTGCTAAAGTTATGCTTACTTTTTATACGAATATCATTAGCTACAGTACCTGTAATAAAATATTACAAAAGTAAGCCATTAATACTTATTTCTTACTTTCACTATCTACTTCATCAAATTCAGTACCTGTAGTACTTATACCTATACATAAGTGATAAAAAGATACAAGTAAATTTCATACATTCTGTTTATTTTTGTAATTAATAATATTATAATAATATTTTACCATTGTTAAAGGCTTCATCAGATGAAAGAAATTCTTCCACATTAGTTTTAATTTTTCCAAATTCCTCCGGATAATCATCACAAACTTGTAGTACCTTCCTCCAGGTCACTCCTCTATTGGAGTCCATCCATCTCTGGAACACTATTATCAGCTTATCAGAGGCTGACAGGGGACTATGCAACAAGTCAGTCACATCAACATCAAGTGCAGTACCAATAGTTGAATAATGAGCAGCAGAACTATCAAAGAGCCTATGGAGGTCCTTTAATTTCGGCTCCTTGTTCAAAATGTCTATAAATATGTAAATATAAATTTATTAATTTTTACTATAATAAATACAATTATAACATTTTGATATACCTTTTAGATCATCAAACCAGTACCAGTAGTCATTGCTAAGAGCAGGAGATTCACCACAAACTGTACAATCAGCTACTTCATGGTGATCTTCATTTACAATGCAATAGCAGCTCTCATTGTAAGGGCAAGCAAATCCATTGACGTAATTATGCTTGAGGTGCATGGCATCACTGCTATTATCAATAGCTGTTGTGAGTAGTTTACGTACTAATGGACAGTGCTGGGTAGGACCAGTAAAGTACACTTCAATATGAGTGTAACGGTTGATGAGGTGAAGCGTGTGCTTTGATGTGATCGTTATCTTGAGGGACATTGCATCTCGAAATTTGCAATATTCTGATGTCGATGGAGGGATTTCAGTAACGTTTCCTTTCTGGTTGAGTAGGTGTGTGATGGTTAAAGGGAACAATCCTGTAGGAACTGGTAGGATCTCTTCACTCTCCTCTTCCCTCCAGACTATGAGAAGTGGCTTAGCATCAGTCTCCTTAACTGAAACTGGTTCATTGTATGAAGGAAGAGCATAAGGAATGAAGTAGTGTCCCTTTGGTTCATCTTCTAGTTTTGTGATGATGTTAAGATGAAGGAGGAGTCTGATTAGGTCAGACAACTGGAATTGTGGGTGCAAAAAAACCTCAGACTTTGACTTCAAATGGCCAAAAATATCTTCATTGAAAAATCCTTCCTTGAGATTATTAATGACGGTGTAAGGAATTGGGTTGATTAATATCAATGCTTGGGCATTTCTATCATCAACATATGTGAGAGCTATTAATTGTGAAAGAATCTTAAGGATTGGCTTAGAATCGATAAAGACGACATTCGTAACTTCTGGATAATATAACATGAGACTGACATCATGGAAATATCTCAAAGCTTGTTTTGTATCTTCTTTGTTCATCCCATATCTTTCTCCAATAGATAAAGCTTCCTTGATTGATAAAATACTCTGCTCGGGCAAAGACAGCTCAAATACAAACCATCGAATTGGTATTCTAATTTTGAGTGAAGCGTCAGAGCCAAAATACCATATTGCTTTGCAAATCTCTTCACTGTATTTAGCTCTTTCTTCTGATGCAGCAATCGTGTTGATGGGAAATATGATAGAATCATCATCAGATTGATGAATAACGCAATTTTGCAAGTAAGATTCCAACGAAGACATTGAAGACTTTAGAATCTCTTCTTTTTCTTTTAGAGTAGCATCGCTCACCTTGTCATAATGTGTTCCCAACACAAGATGCATGGAGTGAGTTGGTTTCTTGGAGATGCAGGAAATATCAAGAGGCTAAAA